GGAAATATACTCATCACACTTCAAAAATGTGATTTACCCATGCTTACACTCCAAACAGGCTTTTGAAAAGATTTCCAAGTATGTAACAGAAAATAAAGCAGCTTTAAAAAGCGTATAAAGCTGTCTTCCTCCTCCATGCTTCTTCCATAAAGCTATCATAAGTTCCCTGGTGTCTGGTCCAAGGGAGCCTTATGTCACACTGCCCAAACACACTGGCAGCCTCAGCTGTGGTTCTTTAAGGTACTGCAATACCCAGGTGTCTGCCCTTACCTGCTGCTGGACTTTCTGTTACTGTAACCAGATCAGCAGGTTAGGACTGTAAAAGTGGCTCAGCTGCCCCAGTTCACACTCTGGTGTCTCAGTTTCTCCTGCCACATAAAGTTACTTGGGGCAGTTGAAGAGGAGGCAGACACTGGAGGTATGCTTTGTACCCTCACAGCATGACCACCAAAGCTCCTTAATCAAAGCCCCACAACCTACTTTTTATCACAGAATCACAGAATGGTTTGGGTTGGAAGGGACCTCAAAGATCATCTAGTTCCAACACCCTGCCACAGGCAGAGATACCTTCTACTAGACCAGGTTGCTCAAAGACCTGTCCAACCTGGCCTTGAACACTGCCAGGGATGAGGCAGCCACTGTTTCTCTGGGCAGCCTCTGCCAGTCATCATGTTCCTTGTAGTGAAGATTCTTTTCCTAATGGCTAATCTGATTGTCTCCCCCCTGTCAGTTCAAAGCCATTCACCGTTGTCCTATCACTACATACTGTTGTAAAAAGTCCATCTCCAGATTTCCTGTAAGCCTGCTTTAGGTGTTGGAAGACTTGTATGATCTCCCTGGAGCCTTCTCTTCTCCAGGCTGAACAAGCCCAGCTCTCTTAGCCTGTCGTGCCTGTGCTGCAGGTGTACATTTAATACTTCCTGTGATTCTTGTTGTGGAGTAAGCCCCTAACATAAAACAGAATTTTTGCTGCAGTGCGGGGCAGTGGCACATAACCACAGTATTAAGGGTCAAACCACATTGCCAGCATTAGCTACATTGAGCTTTCCCAGGAAGGGAGATGGCTACCACTGCCCATCTCAATTGACGTGATTAGACAGAGCTTTTGCGTCCTGTTTCACTTAAGGGGAAAAATCAAGTCAGAGCCAAGCAAATGTTTTAATGCAGTCTTGTTTGTTCATTAAAGATGTACAAAGTTCTTTCTCCCCAGCACAAGAAGACCCAACAACAGACAGCAGTTTCCTCACTGCTAGCTCCAGCTTAGCCTGGCCAGAGCCCCATCCTTTCTCTTCAGCCCTCTATCACTACTCTTCCCATCAGTCTATCTAATATTTCTTTTCTGTCTTCTTTCTCACTCTGCTCTTTCCTCTCACCTGTTCTTTTAAGCTGTTCATTTTCCAGATAGCAAAGGCAGTTAAATTGTCACCTCCTACCTCTTGCCTTTTTCCAATCTCACAACTGCAGTGATGGATATCTCCATGTGAGAAACACATTTGTCCTCCTTGTGCAAGGTCATCCAGGTTAATTTCAGATGTCTGAAAAAGAAATTTGTATTATTAAGAGGGCTAATTCTGCAAAAACAGATTAGGGAGTGCTCACACACACAGTTTATTTGGCAGGGCTGTGAAGGCTGTGAGTCCCAGCTGGTGGGTGGTATCAAACACCTGAGGACTGTAACATCTGCTGATGGCATAACTAGATCCAGAAGAAGAAACTTATCTACACAGTTGGAGGCATGCAAATACCTTCACAAAACTGCAACAAGCAAGTATTAATATATACTATCTATATAGTTGCTGAACCAATTTCAGCAAGATGTTACCCAAACAGAACTGTACTGATACTCTCTTTTATACTCATCAGTCCACTCTGGCAAAGCTGAAGGGATTGAAAACCCATTAGTAAGGGAGAACTGGGTGATTTTTTTCCATGCAAAAGACTTGTAGAAGGACTTGTAAAAACTGGGCAGATGCTTTAATTAGGAGTTTGAAAATGCTCTCTCCTGATCTTTTCTTCATTGATAAATAGTTCAGTATTGTTCTTCGGTGGAGCTCTACTTAAAATACCATGAGGTTCTTACCCTAAATTCCACTGAAGAAAACACACATTTTCTTTCAGCTGGTCAATGACTATCACAAAAGGTGTGATAGTCAAAGACCAAACAAGTCTCCTATAAGCACAAAGGACACTATTGTATGTGCTGAGCCTATTTGACTCTGGAGTTGTTTCATCCACTGTTTGATACAGATGAGGTTTCTAAGCAATTCCTGGGTATCCAATACCTAGAGAAAAGTCTATTTGTTGTATGGCTCCGTTTCTTACTTTTCTGAAGGACAATACAAGACCTCTGTGCTCTATAGCCCTTCTCTGCCAAAGTACAACAGAATTCTTGTTACATTTTCAGTTAAGGTTTTTATATAGTATGATGTCTTTCCTACTTAGTGTTCTTCACCACTCATATACAGAGAGAAACAGAGAACTAGCATCATTACATACTACTCAAAACCAAAGTACCTACTGCAGCCAGTCTGAATTGGAGAGATTTCTACTGAAGTTGTGGCAGCCACCTCCTTTGCTGCTTTATCAGTCGTGGGCCAAGTGTAAGTCACAGGCATAGTGACGAGAGGCACTGTCAGGGTGACAGTCTCTCACTACAGAGGAAAAAAATTGTTCTAGTTTGTCCAACTGGACTGCCCAGGTACTGAGAGAAATTTGGCAGTTCCCTTCACAGCTCTGACAATGATTTGTTGTATGGTTTGTGGCAGTTTGTCCATTTAAGAACTGTATCACAGCTTGTGCACGCATTAAAGCAAAAAGCATACATATTTAGCAGGACTGTCTTGTGATTCATATTTATATAGCATACTGTGTATTAGAGGCATTCTGTATCAGCTACTTTTGTTGCTACTAAATCAGCAGACTGCTTCAGGTTATTTATTTTGAGGTTTGTGTCAATATCTGAGACTATTTTTGGGTTAGATTTTTTTGCAGGCCACAGATACACATTTACAGTCCTGCATTATCAAAAGTGGCTTAAAATTTTCTACAGCTCTGGATATTTCCTTTCACAGGAAAATACAACAGGAAAAGAATCTAGAATATATTCCTTGCTACAGTGCTACAGTGATAGTAATACTTCATGCAGTGGTAGTAATACTTGCTGCAGTAAATTCTGCAGGTTTGTACAAAAGGAGGCAGATCCTAACAGGTGCACAGATGTGTAATTCCATTAATTTGGCAAGAGCTATATTAAATTAGCCAAGGAAGTGGCCCTGCAGATCTTTTTATATGCTGGAGTAATTGGTTGAGTGGGACACATTCAGTCACAGTGGTTGTATTTATGAGAAGTCATTCCATCAGGGTTTCATTGGCTTTTTGAGAATGTCTCAACTAAACTAGAAAAAAAACATTCTACAGGGAAATTGCTAGTAGCACTTTTTTTCCACTTACCTGTTCTTGAGGTTTTTCCTTCATTTATTCAAATGTGGACAACAGCCATCTACCTGCATCAGCTCCCTGTTGAACTTTCACTTGTCACACTGCTATTAATTCAGAACCAAATCATTAATAAGGCTTCAGATGGATACCTCAACCATGAACAACTACCGACCATCATTATCACTGCAAATGCATGCTAGTCATGATGACTACGAAACCTCTAATATATATTCAAGTATGCGCTGTTATAACTGATGCATAAAATTCTAGACATCTACTTAAATGTTTATCACCATAATTAAGCCATTACAAAATGAGTGCGAAAGCAGCCAGACATTTATCTTCATTAAAAAAAAAGAGATTTTTTAAAACTCATTTCCCTGCAAACAGCATTGTGTTAAATCTGTGCTCTGTGCCTACTTGTTAAACAGAACTAACTGTATTTAAGGTTGGAAGCCTTCAAATGAAAGCCAGTAATGGAACTGTAATTTTCTGAAAACGCCTCCTATTCCTCTTCAGTAAATCTATTATTAAAAGTACTGCTGCTCTTTTCTAGCAATTGTGCCAAAATACTGTGCTTCTAATGAGTTTCTAGTAGAATGAGTCTTTTTCCATTCTCTGTGCAGTTGCATCTGAAATTTCAAAATACAAAGATCTCCCTTGGGTTATTTTCTAGCTATTTATTGTTTCATATTTATCATTTATTTCTGTAAAGTGAGAAACAGTAATCAGTGCTCTCAGCTGGACAAATGGTCAAAGCTCTTTGACTGACATCGCAAATACATGTAATAGGAGCATTGATGAGAAGTCCGTGCTATTCTAACAGCAGGCTTTCCATGCAGGGATGCTCCCTAAGCAGCCGGTGTCCTGTTTTTCTGATACCTGCTGCTATAAAACCAAAAAGTTCTCATGTCTCGCTATACTCTCTGATAAAGCAAAAGATGCTGAATACAGAAAAGTGATACACTGAACAAATTTCTTTCTAGTTTAGAAATGAGCAGAGTTTAGTTATATGGCCACATGCAATCTCTGGCCACTCTCCTGTTCATTACAACAGCATGGCCCAAAGAACCAAGTGATTACCAATAGTTTCACTCAGATGTCCCCTCAGTAAATTTCTATATATTTTCATTTCTCACAAACCCACCTGATAAGTAATTTCTGTTAATTTATCAGCAGATATACAAGTATAAGCCAATATTATGAACTTACCTATTTTTTATGTCAGAGGTAATTTTAAACTATTATGATTTTAAAACTCTTTGGGTCATTTGATTTCTAAATGAGACTTCTTGTAACTGCCGTCATTTACAGGCAAATAAAACTATAGGCATCAAAAAAGAGGGTCTGTGCCTCCAGAATCTAAACTAATTATTGCGCCATCTGGCTTTGGCACATAGTCAGCATGGCTCTCATTTGCACAGGGTTTGAGATGCCCTCTCCTAGAATAATGATTAATAGAAGAGTTTTAAATATTAATTTGCTTAAACTGTAGAAATTGCTTGGTTTGTGCTTAGTACTGCTAGCCGGTATCTTACTACACTGCGGTTCATTTATTCCAGATAATTGATAAGAGCAAGAGAGACCCCTCTGAAGAAATTGAGATCCTCTTGCGATATGGACAGCATCCAAACATCATTACTCTTAAAGATGTGAGTAGTCTTTGGGGACTTCAGCATTAAACAATTTTCAACTTACGATCAGGCTCATCTACTAAGCCATGTCTGGACAATTCTTCAGCTGAAGGTTAAAGCTAAAACCAGACCCACTGAAACCAAGGAAATAAAGGTGACTTAACAAATTACCAGATAGCAGTTGGAAAGACTGGTCAGGTTATACATTCTCCAGTTGCTGTCTAACCAACAGTAAATAAACCCAAAGGGGTACAGTGCCAGAGCACAAAACATGTTTGGTTTGCAGCACTTTCTGGAAGTGAGATCTCCCTTGTTGGATGCTTTGGAGCAAGCTGTTGAGCACACACAGTAGTGCTGCTGGGCAGGGGATGCTCTTTCACAAGTAGCAGCTGTTCCCGTGCAGCCTGTGGTATCTGCTTTGTTGGGAAGAGGAGAGCTCACAGAGTCACTAGGGTTTCTCCTGGTAGTGTTTTAATGCCAGGGAGTACTTAACTTCTACTCAAGCAGCCTGAGCAGACATGAAGGTATCTTTCTCCAGTATTTCATATGAAGAATGGCCTTTGCTATGCTTATATACAGTAATGACCTTTAGTCAGAGACTCAGAGATGTTTTACTTACTCTGCCTGCAGTCTCACCTAGGACTGTCCACATTGTGTCATACCCAGAGTTTACAGGTCAAAAATCCTGCTGGTGTCAGTGGTATCTTAGGGTTCAGACCTTGGAAAAGTGTATAAAAAATTTCTAATCACATGCCTTCGGGAAAGTCTCACCTAATTCTGAAGTGTTAGAGAGTATCTTAAAATAGGAGCAAAAAAAAAGGCTTCACATTCCTTTCCAAAAGCATTGATGATTATAACAGCTCCTATTATTGCAGTCCAGATAAAGGATTATGACATGAAAAAGTTTATCTTCCAATTTAGACAAAAAATGCCTCCTACCCTTTGCAATTGACAGTGAAGGTAAATGCATCTTGTGGCTGATATCAACAATGTATTCACCAGAACTGCAAATATAAGCTATATAATATGATTGGAAGCAGATCTTGGCCAGCAGTACAATACAGTTCATTTAGCTGATCATGAGTCAAAGGGAAATATTGATATTTGAAATGGTAAACGTTACTCTGCAGAAGTGGAAAGAGAGAGCACTACTGAGAAGGAGGCTTGGGTGAGAGCCAGTAGACATTTCAGACTGTGTGAAGTGATGCTGCTTTTAGCAGCTTGGTCTTATCTGCTGACATGATAGCGGATCAAGAAAGCTACATTTCTGTGTGGACCAAACAGCAAGTTGCTCCAGACATGAGAAAAAAGTGATAATTTAGCCATCTTCTAAAGCTGACTCTTGTGCTGTAAAGTATAATAAGCACATTTCCCACATATTAGCTGACATTTTCTTCTTGCAACATCTCACAAAGGCAAGCCAATGGTGTGATTAAAGGACCAACCTCTAACCAAGTTAATATATTTATTCTATTATTCTTCCAGGTCTATGATGATGGGAAATATGTGTACCTGGTGATGGAGCTGATGCGGGGAGGTGAGCTCCTGGACCGCATTCTTCGGCAGAAGTGTTTCTCAGAGCGGGAAGCCAGTGCTGTGCTGTGCACCATCACCAAGACTGTGGACTACCTGCACTCTCAGGGTGTAAGAATTGCTTTTTCGGCTATACACATCAACCTTCCTAAAATACTTTTAGAAAAAGCAAATAGCTGTTATTTTGCTACTCCAAAATGTAAAAAAAGTTGGTTTTTTTTTATAAGAAAAATTAATCTTTCTCCATGTTTATAATTACATCTGCTTTGTGAAATAGGGTGATACGCTTCTTAGCCATTTTACAACTGAACTGCAGTATGTTGAAGTGGTATTTTCATTCCCAAACTACACTGCTTTTCAAGTTCATGTACCTTTTTGAGATGTACTTGTTTACTTTTTATCACAGTCATTATGGCAGTACCTGATCTTTTAACAGAATTTCAAATAGGGTAGCTGCATCAGCCAATAGGTAGAAAATCAAATGCTCAGCTCTCCAAATGAAGTGGCAGATTGAGCAGCTCATGGGAAAGAATTCTGACATGCTGTTAAAGAGCTGGCTTTTGAAATCTAAGCTGTCTATGGCAGTTTGAAAGTCTCTCCTTTTCTGCTTTTCAGGGACAAGTAGTTTGGATGACTAGTCAAATATTTGCTGCTTTTTCCGTTTCTTGGACTTGATGACCTTAAAGGTCTTTTCCAACCTAGTTAGTTCTATGATTCTATGGTTAAAAGAAGTGCATTTTGTGCTTGGGCTTTTATGTTTTCATTATAGTTTTTCAGTCTTGCTGTAACAAATGAAGGCTGCTTTCCCACCAGTGATATTCAGCATGTCTGGTAAAACATGCAGCTACTTGAAGTTGTGTGCCTATAGGAAGAACTTTTGTAAATACATTTTGAAAGGAGGAAAAAAAGAATCCATCCCTTTCCATGTGAGTCTCTTGCATACACAGTCACAAGGAGACCTTTACACAGTATCCTCCTATGACGGGATTTCTTCTTTGCCTTTCAGATGAATATTTAAGGCCCTCAGGTCCCAGGGGACTTTTACTCCAAGGTGTTTGTACAGCAACATCCTCTGAGCGTCCTCTGGAAGGTGGATCCCCCTGAGAGCAGCAGTCTCAATCTTAATACACCAACAGAGGCTATCAAACATGTTCCTTCTGATTTTAACAGACTTTAACCTTTTTTTTCCCTCTTCCCCCTTTGTTTTTCTCCAAAATTTAAATATTTTTGGCATGAGCCCTTGGCCTACTTCAACCAGCAGACCAGAAATGGCAGCCAAGCCTGGATGCTCCCTGACCTCCTCTCCTCACTTGTTCCTTGCTGCTTTCTTGTTAAGGTGGTGCACCGAGATCTCAAGCCAAGTAACATCCTCTACATGGATGAGTCAGGAAACCCAGACTCCATCAGGATCTGTGACTTCGGGTTTGCCAAGCAACTGAGAGCAGAGAATGGGTTGCTCATGACTCCCTGCTACACAGCCAACTTTGTTGCCCCTGAGGTAGGATTGCATTTCAAAGCCGTGAGTAATGAGTGTGTCCTAGGAAGCAGTCTTTCCTCCCCTTCTCCCTTTTCCTCGCTGCCTTTACAAGAGGAGTAAAGCAGAAACCAGACACTTGCACAGTCTCTATTACCATAACTTTCCTATTCCTGCCCTTGTCAGGGAAGTTGTTTTGTTCCTGACAGAAGCTGGTGTCTGTCTGTGTCTCTGTGACTGACGTACAAAATGCGTTGGCTCATTACGGTGATAAATACGCTTTTTTCTCCAGCTGCTTCTGCTCAGACTGTTTCCCCTCTGGTGCACTGCATCAGAATGGGACAAGGCTTAAGCAGAAAATCATAATGTCAGGAATAAGTCTCAGAAGAAAAAGCCATGCTTTAAATCCTTACCACACTGGAGTCAGTGGCAGCTTTATTGTTGGGTTTATTGAACTAAAGAAACATCTCTTCTCTTGGGCTTTCCTAGTACTAGTCCCCCCTGTTATGGGGAATGTAGGAAAGGGCTGCTTTCCTGATTTTACAGATGGGGAAAAGAGGGAAGACCAAACAGTTTGCCCCAAGCATGGGCTGAGGCAGCTCTGCATTGCTGGCAAGTGGTGTTCCCTTCATGCAGTGCCACAGGACTGGATTTGGGTCCCACAGCCGTTTGTATGGTTTGGGCTCTGTTGTATTTGACCTTTGAGACGTTCATAGCTGCTTCCTTCCGATGAAGGAGAAAGAGGTTAATTTCCTGAGTAACTCTCCATTTCTTGGAGTGATGCTTATCATCAGTTTTGGTATCTGCAATACACAACTTCAGAAGTGTGTCTTCCTCTGCTTGCTATGTTCGTTATGAGAAAAACACAAAACTATTGCCTTTCAATACTTCATCTGTCCTCTGCTGTCAAATACCACTCTCTCTGTTGGTATCATTCAGTTATCTTTTCTTCACCATAACTCTCTTCCATCCAATGTTCATCTGGTACATAAATGAGAAGAGAAAAATGAGATGATCCTTTGTAAAAGGTCCTTTTGCGATACCAAAAGTTATAGGATTCGCAGCCTTCCAGCATTAGAAGGAGAATTTATTAAATTGAGACCGTTGCCAGGGCAATATAAATTCAAAGCAGATTTTTTTCAGAAGAAAAAGTCTGCCATTGCCAAGGCAGATTGTTTTGTGTTTTATTGCTGTTTGGTTGGGTTCTCATTTTAGAAACTGGAATGAGGTGCTTAAAATTTATCAAAATTTTAAGATTTAAAGCACTTGGATTTTCTCCAAGATACAATACCCTTAAAATAGGTGTAGCTATTTTTAGTGATGGGCTATTCTGTATGGTGTCTGTAGCCACAAACATTGCCAGCCCAATGCAGTTTCAGGTCAGACTTCTGATTGAACTGAAAGCAGAAATGATGCTCCTAGACATTTGTTTGAATAAGACAGGTCCTGCTAATGCAGGAAATTTTGGAGATTAATTGAAATGTCACCAGAACTGGCAGAGAGCTTACATAAAGCCTGAAGTGCTTTTACATTTGACCTGTGATATAACGCTGCCCTCCAGCCTGTGCTTGACTTTCAGGATCCCTGTCTGAGCCCTGCTATAACGTCTGCCATATACCCGTGAAACCCGACAAGGCGTCAGAAAATCAGCTGAGCCCATGACACAAGGGGACAGTGGCAGAGGGAGGAGGACCTGTTTGTCCTCTTGGATCTCAACTTTATTTTGGAAACGTTGCATTTGTGTGTTAGAGGAGATGAACAAAGATGAAGGCTGCTCGGGAGAAAGGCGCACGCTGCCACCTAGTGCTAGCCCTGCCCGGTGCAGGGAATGAGCCGCGGGCCTGGGACAAAGGGGTAACGCAGGCTGCGCTTTCCCTGCCGATGCAGCTTCGGGATGAAGTAAAAACATTTCATCCTGTAGTTTTCCTCCAAAATCCCTGAAAAACGACTGGTTTGGCATTTGAAATTAAGGGATTCATTAGCTTTCATACCCATACACATCCCTGCTTGCCTCACAACTAAGATAAGCCTGGCTTTGTAACATTGTCAATCCAAAAAATCGAAGCTTTATAGAAATAAAATGGGGCTGGATAAATATCTGAGCTGTTATCAGAATTGGATGAACCCAGGGGAAGTTTCTTCCTTATCACCACAAGGCACCTGCCATGTGCAGCACTTAGAACCAGCTCATGCTTGTACTTCACATCCCACCAAATTCTTGAGGTGACCTAAAGCCCTTCACTGGTGGTATTCTTCAGCATCCATTACAGCAGGACAGCACTGCATCTTTTGCAAAGCTCTTTCCCTGACTATTTATTTCTAAGGCACATGCCTGTTACTGTTTGATAATACCTGCCACCCCTAGGTCAAACACTAACCTTTTTGGCAAAGGCTCCCCACACTTGCTCCTGCCAGCTCAGTGTTCTGACTTTAACCACAGTTACACAGAGCATTTGCAAATAGTACTGACACTAATTGACAGCTCTCACTGGATCCTGTTTATTTCCATGGGGTGAAGTTGCTGTCGATAAAAAGTAATTGCCAGCAAAGCTTTCCCTAGACACTGTCACACAGTGAGTGTCCCTGTTGTGGAGCAGCATTCTTGCAAACTGAATGATAGCACGCAGTGACACCTGCCCATTATTCTAGGATTGTAGAACCACTTGCTTAACAGCCTGCTCCACTAAATATCATCACTGCCCCATTTTTCTGTCATTTGCCTTGGACTTGATTGTCCTTGATTACCAGGGGAAGATAGTGAATGGCAGTGAAAATGTAACTGTTCAAAGAAGCCATGAGAATGGCCACACCAAAAGATAAGCGCTGGGTATTCAGTCTCACAAGCAAAGCAAGAAGCAACTGAACTTGTCAAATAGCAAATATGTTTTTCCCATAAAAAAATAACATTCATAGAAGGGGAAATAATGCAAGAACTAAAGAAATGGAAACAGAACAGCCAGTGATCATATATATGATCTGCAGGGGAGAGATGCAGAAGCGGGACTTTACCAGCTTTATTAATGCACAGGAGAAAATGTGGATTCTTCTGCATGTTTTTTTTTTTCCAGATAGCAAATGTTTGCTCAGCAGCATACCTGGCAGGTGGCTGTTCTGCCACGCATCATTTGTAAAATCTGTCGAGGCAACATTTTCTGAAACTGTTTTATCCTAGAAGCGCTTCTCTTTTCTTTGATAGACTTCAGATAGCTGAAAGCACTCCTGGGTAATAAGGCTACAGGTCAGAGAAAAGCTTGCTGAATTTGTACATTTCCCTTCCCTGTGCTTTGCAAAAATTAATGTGTCTACTGATGCACCAGAAGGAAACAGAACTCTCCTTGTGTGTCAGAACTGAATGAACAGAGGGGTAGTTTGCTTTTAAGAGCAAGTGAAAGATCTGGAGATCACAGTATCACACAGTATCACAGTATGCTAGAGATTGGAAGGGACCTCAAAAGATCATCTAGTCCAGTCCCCCTGCCGGAGCAGGAACACCTAGATAATGTTACACAGAAATGTGTCCAGGTGGGTTTTGAATGTCTCCAGGGAAGGAGACTCCACAGCCTCCCTGGGCAGCCTGTTCCAGTGTTCTGTCACTCTCACTGATGATCCTTGAGCTTTTCTGTGGCAAACAGAAACAAAGTTTTTCTCCTAATCTCAGGAATGCTGTCTCAGTGGTGACTTCACTTTTGCTTGGACATGCTCTGACTCAAATAGGCACCATGAAATCTAGATTTTACCCTTACTGCTGTAACTCGCCGTCCTCCGCCAATACTGAACCTACTGGTCAGATCTCTGCCAACTACCATGGGTCTTGTTTTCCCCGTAGGAAAAAAGGATCAAGTTCTAGCCTGTTATCTGTTAAATCCAGTCAAAATGTGGCCAGTTTTCTTAATACAACAGTAAAATAAGATTAAGCCTTTTAGCTTTCCTTGTAGTTGTCATGCATCTTTACTAGTCTGACATTAGATATGGTTAGTGTGCATCCATTTGTTGTACCAAATCCAAACTAAGCTTAGACATACTTACCACTGTCACTCACTCAGCCCTATGCTTGTGGCATCTACAGTGTTCTTGGTAACCTTTGTGTTTGAAGGATACATTTCAAAGTATTAATAAGCTTTTGTTAAGAGACACTGTAAAACACTGAAATGTTGTTCTGCTTTGCTGTGTGTTAGATGGTCAAAGAGGCTCCCAGAGCTTCCAACAGACTGCACTCATCTCTCTTTACTGTGGAGGTGATAGATGTGCTGGGCTTGAACACTAAAGAGCACATTCCAGCTGGGGCTTTGCCTTGCTCCACACCACTACTGAACGTTTTGATCCTGAGGCAGCTACCTGTTCAAGCCGGATACGCAGTTAAGCCCTGGAAATGCCAGCAGATACAATCACTAATCAGTGCTGTTTGAAGATCAGAAGCTGAAAATTCAGCAATGCAGATTAACCTTTTTTCACCTCTCTCCTTCCTTCGCACAGGTCCTTAAACGCCAAGGTTATGATGCAGCCTGTGACATATGGAGTTTGGGGATCCTACTGTATACCATGTTGGCAGGGTGAGTGGAGAGGTTTTCCTAGAGCTGCAGTCTCCTGTGGGCTCATCACTTCAGCATTGATTAACCCAGAAAGGAGTAACAGACAGAGACAGCCAACTGTCTGGCCTCCTTTGGGAAATATGCTCAGTTGTATGAGGCAAGAAAATAGATGCCAAGACCTAGAATTAGAATAAGTTTCTCCAGAACGCATAAATATCTTTGACACTTTGCAAGTTGTTTGGGTTTTTAACAGCCTGTACCATAAGTGTGCAGGAGACCTAAACTCCTAAAAGGCTCATTCACCACTTAAACAGCGTGAAACTTTATGCTAGGGGAGGAGCATAGGAGTATGAAAAGCCATATCATGTTCACCTCATTCATAAGAGGATGTCCATGCATTTCTGTTGATACATGTATTCTGCTGTTTTTATTGTTGACATATCTATCTGAGCACCTTTAAAGGTTAAAAAAAAAAGCAAACAAAACAACAAACACAAACCCAAACATCTTTTTCAGATGCTATTTGAAAAATAATCTACAGAAAGTACAGAAAGTAAATGAACAGACAGGCAAGAAGAGCAGAAGGCAGTAGGAACATTTGCAGGGTACTTAGCAAAAGTACCCCTACCAACAATACCAATATGTTGGCTAAAGTTAAATATTGACACAGGAAAACCCAGAGAAAGAGGCATACTGAAATAAGCAGTGAAGGATAGGCATAAGATATGCTGGGGTGAATAGCAAACACAGTGTGCAAACCCAATCTGGAGTTATCAGGACACTGAATTTCATTCCTCAGGGTATGGTACAGGGGTATTTAATGTACCTAAATGCAGCTTGAAACTTTTTGGTGACTTCTCACAGCACTTTAATGTGCTTCCTGATCATTCAGCTGTGGCAAAAAGCTTGGATTCACTCATAGATTTATACAGAAAACAAAGAGCTGGACCCTACCTTTCTGTAACTCATGTATCTTGCCTCATAGATTATAGAAAAGGTGCCAGGAGTTTCTATCACATCTATTTTGTTCCTAAGTACAAATGTGTTCACCATTAGGTGAAACACATTGTGACCTTCAGGGACAGTGTCACAGTCTGCTGAGGTTTCCAAAAACCTGTTTTCATTTGGCTAATGCTATGGATATGCAATGATACACAATCAAAATCAGTAAAATAAAATTAATACATTACCCACAGTCATATTTGTTTAACTGAATATATTCAAAATGTTTCTTTTTTTAAATGTGAAAAAAAATCCAAAACAAATATACCAGAATTGGAAATTTAAATTGCACTACTTAGTGGATATTAAATTTGATGACAGGTGCCATTAACTTTTATCTCACTTTTTTCAGCACTTAGAAAATACAAATAATACAGACAGTTGGGAAGTGCTGACTTTTTAGATACCACCACTTATTCTTCCTCACTGGAGGAAAGTTAGTAGGAAATGACTATTATTTGCATCCAGGATTTTATTCTGCCATTATCACTATGAGCAGAGAGGGTTCAGACAGCCAGGACTAGAGCACAAGCCCAGGATCCTGTTAATGCAGGTAATGACAGACCTCAGAGTTCTAGCTGATTCTTAACTCTTAGCGCATCCCTCCTGATAGTTATAGACTGGAATAATATTTTATTATATTTTAGTATTTTATTATTTTTATCCTTTCTTGCCTTTATCAAGGTACTTCCATTGCAATAAAGTGGAGTTAAAACAATCAGAGAGGCAAAAACCTGTCTACTTTTTAAAAAGAATAGTTAATTCCTAAAAAATGAGAACAGAACAAAAATTTAAAACCAATTAAAGAATCAGTCTTTTCATTTGCAGAACAACTTATGAGGAACCACTGGACTGTATACAGTGAAAGCAGAGATGTCTGGTCCACTCTGGAGCCAAATTACTATTGTAATTGGTGGCCAGTTAGCACTAGATTCTAAAAATCATATACTTGCAAATTACACTGCATTTTTTTCTGTTTTTTTTTTTTGTTTTTGAATAGGTTCACTCCTTTTGCAAATGGACCAGATGACACCCCAGAGGAGATTCTGGCCAGGATTGGCAGTGGCAAATATGCACTTACAGGAGGAAACTGGGATTCAGTATCTGACACTGCAAAGGTCAGTGAACTCCTTCTCAGATTATTTTCTTGTTCTCTGAAATGGGCTTGTAACCTGCAGCTGTAGCAAACTTCAGAGACAGATAGTCAGAAAGGTTATTCCTCAGTGCCTCATGGAATAAAAGCTTGCTTCTTTATGTTTCTACTACTCCACATGAAATAGTGTGTCAGGAATTCTGGTAGTTTATGTCATTAAACTAAGGCATAATATAGTGCCATCAGCTGTGAATGCTCTTGAGATTTAAATGGCACAGAATTCTTTTTTGGTGCAACTGAACTTTTAAAAGAAGCACAGAGCTGACAATGCCACAGATGTATGGTCTGTATTTGAATCACCTTTTTGCTCCTCAAAGGTAGCAAGAAGTAAGCAGTTTACAAACTAGCATTTTCAACTCCTGTACAGTTCACAGTGTAGGCTGCTCATCTATCAAAAAGCATGGGAACCCCAGGAGATAAAATTAATCTGGTGCTGAGACTTCTGAGCCCGAAGCTGTGCAGTAGTCTGTGAGACAGGTAGATGGGCAGGAAAGCTGACAAGCTTCCAGTTGCCTGGCATTAATCAAAAACTTTGACAGGATTCAGAGATTCCTGCAAGAGATTTCAGTTCTAGCAACTGGTAGTATCCAATGGAAGAACATTGACATATCCCACGGCAAAACTGGAAGCAATCTTAGTAACATCTTAATCTTGCTCACACCTGTGAGCCTCACAGTATATTTTTTATCAGATATCCAGTTTTGAAATGAAAACTTTCAGATGCGGTAGAACTGATCTCATTGAAATTTAGCCACCTGAATGTCAGATTTCTTTTCTAAGCTTCTTCTATAAGCATGCTTTGGAGTCAGATCCCTCCAGATGGCATCCTCCCTACATGGGAGTTAATCACCCCTATGAGGTCTCCAGTAATTAACACTCAGTAAGATGAATACCCCCCCCCTCCCCCGTGTTATCTTTTGACTGGATTATCAGCTGAGAGTTGAACATTACATTTGAAAATTCTGAAGATAGGACGTTACACTTTAAAAATATCAAGCATATCTGAAGTGCGTCACTCTCTCCATTGGACAGGCTGGTGGTGACACTGCCGCCAGGAAGATCTTAGTAAAACCTGAACTGCTGTTAATTACTTTTTCCCTTTTACTGTTTTCTCCCTTTTAAACCCAGGACATTGTGTCTAAGATGCTTCACGTAGACCCTCATCAGCGCCTCACAGCAGTCCAAGTCCTAAGACATCCATGGATAGTGAACAGGGAGTATCTGTCTCAAAATCAACTCAGCAGACAGGATGTTCACCTGGTGAAGGTACATCCTACACCTGTGCCTCTTCCTTCTTGCACAAAGAGCTGTCATCTGTGTAAATATTCTGGAAAGTGATAGAGAAATTGGGAATATTATTTGCCTCAGAGGCCAAATTTAATGTGGCATTGTATTAATAGTAAGGATTTGTGACCTGTCACCTTCTCAGTCTTTAACTTCAAGCTGCATTGTAAGGACATGCTGGCTTTCTGTGCACGTACTGCTACCCACCACTTTGAATCAGAGACGTTTCAGCTCTCTGCCAGCCTAAATGTTGCTATCGTTTTATGGAAATTGTCCATGCATGTCCATTCTTTGTAGGGACTTGTGTAGGGGAAGAGAGGGCAAAACCACCAAAGAATGGAATTTCAACCCAACATTTTCTTTCTCTCTTTTACAGGGTGCAATGGCAGCCACTTACTTTGCTTTAAACCGAGCACCTCAGGCACCGAGGCTGGAGCCTGTATTGTCCTCCAGTCTGGCTCAGCGGCGGGGCATGAAAAGACTTACCTCTACCAGGTTGTAGCAGTACCCCCAAAAGGCCTCTTTGAAAACCCACATTTTATTATTTGAGAAATTCATCTTTACTTGGCTAGCAGAATTTTTTGGACAACCTGCACATGAAATCGCCAGAACTAGCAGAAGCCCAGTGTAAGGCAAAAGTTCTCCTTTGCTCCATCATTTTTTTTACATTCCAGCCAGGGTCCCAAGTTTAACAACTTCACAAAGATGTGCCAATTTTGCCAGTAGCTCTGTTCCTCACTGAGATAAAGCCAAATAAAGTAGGTGTGCTCCATCCATCCCGCCTTAGGAAACACTGTTTTTGAGTCCTTAAGATGTTCCATGAGAACACTGTTTTCATTTTGTTTCTCAAGAAAAAGCACTTTTTGTTATGAAGAACACAGTCGGGTTTGAATGTTTCCAGCTGTTCCAGCCTGCGTCATGATGAAGTGACTTGGTTGGTCACCAGCTGATGTTACTGATCTCCACTCACCCCAGGAAGAGTGAAGGCTGCAGAGACACATTAATTATACCTTACTTGAAGCAAGTTCTACACAACATGAAGGAGAGAGAGCTGTCAGTGGTGGAAATACCTTCAGATTTTAAGAAATCCTTTGCACTTTGCCCCTGCCCTCTCTGAAACGAAGACAGCACAGCTCATGGAGCGCATGGCACCAGCCCTGACTTACACAGAGGTCTCCAAGAGCAGGAAACCTCTGAGAAACTCGGTCCTCTGCAGAAATTATTGGGTCTTGTGAGACTGTGGGAAAGCATTCATGTAAAACATTGTGAGTAGGGGCCTGTGGATCAGAGGAGAAAAAGGTGTCTGGTCTCAGCCAGCAAGTGGGAGGACTGGGCAAAGGGGCTGGTGAACTGAGCAGAGGCAGGGAAAGGTGTGGGTGACTGAGGACAGTAGGCAAAAAACCCTGTGGCAGCATGGGGAGGAGTACTGCCAAAGGGAACTTCGTGCTTGGGGGCAAACTGTGGCTCTAAAAGCAAGGGGTAGTTTCTCTCCAGCAGCTGGTACAGAAGAGGGTTGGTGGGCGGCTGAGCTGACAAGGGCTGGCTGGGTCATGCAGCTCTCCTTCCATGCCATCACCAAATCAGCTCTGCCAGGCCAAAGTGCCACCCTGGAGCATGTGAGGCCATTTCCAGTCACTGCTCTCTGCCCTCCCCTGGCTGCTTACCTGAATCCACCTCCATCACCCAACATTTCATGTCCTTGCCTGGCTGTTCTCTAGCAGAGCTCAACTCCCTGTGATGTGTGTACAGAGAGTATCCACTTCTGAAGAGTCCAGCTAACTCTATTACAAGCTTTAATAATAATAAATTATGAGGAGAAACTGGAGGATGCTCTGCTTTTATATTTATATAAATATGTAGATGTGTATTTATATATATATAAAACAAAAGTTCTGTACCCTGGGTTTTCCAGGTTCAGGGAAAGAAAACTTTGTTGAAATGCTCTCAGCAAAATGGACCTTTTTTCTCATTCCTTGATTTCAAAGAAAGTGAGCAAGGGTTGTGGTGTCAGATGTGAACTATTTTTTTATTCTTTTTCTTACCCATTTTGGTTTATGGTGGTCAGAAGCTGACCAGGATTCTTCTTTGTACTGCTTTTGTTAATTTTTATTTTCCAAGTAAATTTTGTCACCTCAGATGCTTTGTGGGAAAAGTGAATGTGTTATGTTGGCTTCTTTTTCTGTTGTGATGGGAAAGAAAGAAAAATGTGAACATGGAGCTTCATATGCTAGAGATGGGAATTTTTTCTTGTTGAATATGTATGTGCATCTCAGTGTCGAACTGGAATTACCAATCATTGCCTCAGAATGTTCAAAGGAACAAGGAGCTGCATTTGCTGCGGCAACATGCTTCCTGAAACCAACTCTGTTCCTGCATTGCCTGAAACTTGTTTGTTTGCATTAGTCTATTTTTAAATTTAAACTTACTCTTAATATTTTAAACTGATATTTAATGTTCAGGTTTATGTGCTGTGCACAGAGGACTGCTGCAAAGCAGCTCTCCTTGAAGCCCTTCTCTTTTCTAGAATAAACAATGCTGTGAAATTTCACACAGTGGCTGAATTGGCTTGGACTGATGCGTGCAAACACACGCAGATGCGTGTCTGTGGTTATAGACACAGCAGCCCTTATTCTCTCCTCTGGCTAAGCTGTGCTCAGTGTCAGCTTTTTGCTGCCTTTACACTTTTTGTCTTGTTAGAAGTTAAGTATCACATATTTCTGCTACCAGCACACCACGAGGCAAGTCCGCAGGCAGGGGAGATACTGGCTGATGCAGAAACACTCAGGCCAGGCCCTGTTTGCCTGGAAGTGACTTCTATCCTGGAAGAAGGAAGGATGGGCATAAGGATGCTAAGGGCAGCCTGGAGGGAGGGCTGTATTTTCTGGAATCCCATCTGATTTGTTTTTTAAACAAAATGTTTTCTATGGCCCATGTAATTGTACTATCTGTGGGCAGAAAGAGTTTTGTAAATATTATGTACAGGTTTTGTCTCCCCCTGAGATTTCCTGGCTATTTTTCATTGCTTCAGTTTGCTTTCTCTTCCAAGTCATTGGAAACAGTCTAATTTCCTCTTACTATACTTGGTCTTAATTCTTTGAGCATTTTTTTTCACCTGAATATTATTGCAGGCCAAGCTTACAGGATGTTGCTCTTCCCAAAGTTTAATGGTTTGACTCTCTTCCTGATTTAGCTCTTTCTAACCCACCAGCTATTAACCCATTAACCATACAAGGTTTGGGCCATATACAGAATTATATGTGTTGATGCTCATTAATTACTTTGTAAGCCTATAAATTGCATATAATGGGGTTTTCTTATTAAAATTTTGTTGCCAGTGCATCCAGATGTATGCACATGTATGTGTGCATGTAAATACATGCACAAAAAAGTGCTGTCCCAGCTTGTCCAAATGAGGATAGAAGCTTAATCAGTGTTTGAGGAGATACTCAGAAGAGTTTTATCTTCAGCGTTCTTGAAAACCGGTAGTTGAAAGTGGTACTGGTCACCGTGGGTGTGCATAGGTGGCTGTGGCCAGAAGCTGTCCTGTCCTATCCAGCCTCCTCTCTATCCTAGCTGTGTATTCCCCCCCTTCACAGGCTTGCCATGGGAGATGCTCTTCTGAGGGTTTCATGACCTACTTCAGTCAAGATGAACCCAATTAAATTATTTCCACATCAGTCTTGCTGAGCCAGCTCATTTGGGACTGAAATACCAGAGCCTCCATCAGCAAATCCAATGGACAGTTGCTCCCAGCAGAGGGGAAGGAATATGCCATTGGCACTCATTATTTCAGATGGATAGCACCAACTGCTTCCCCTGGCCCAGCTGGATCCAGGTGAAGATGCATGGCCATGGCCTAATTACTGCTGTAGCTGCTTTTATACCAGCATCTCCTTTCCAAACTCCTTGCTGCAGTACAGCCCAGCAATAAGTATTTATTCTTTCTAGGAGAAAATAATAACTGAAAAAGGCTTAGCCTCTCTTTCTGTCTTTTTAATCTTAAAGGACTTCTACTAAATGTTATGTTTAATTCCTTGAAACCTAAAAATCATGCTTGAATGAGATCATGCTACCTTGCAGGTTATTAGTCCACAAAGCGACCTAGTGCCTTAGGCTATTACAAAAGTGTGCAAAGCAACAACTGTTCAAGGCACACTCCTTGTATGACATGACTTTGTGACATGATGTTTTGTGTCACACTCTTAAAAAGTACAGACTGTGTGTCCCTGTGCTTCATCTAATCCTAGATGTACTACTGAAACTCTTTTCAGCCAGACTTAAGGTTGAATAGGTTTTGGACTGAAAGGGACAATAAATCTATTGGCTTACAGGGTAGATCAGACTCTATCAGAAATCAGTATACAGATCTTTAAGAGACATGCTGGTTTTACCTGTGTAGTGCAGTGCTCTAACAACTTGTATCCAGCAGTGGTACACCCAAATACATCCAAACCAGGGTCGAGTATGGCAACTGCTGTGCGTCTACAATATGAATTACTCCAAGGCTTGGATCATCCCCTAAAGCCACAAGTGCCAGAAGGGTTTCTCATGCTGTTGGCCCACAGAGCTTATGCCAGCACATGCAAGTGCTGATGCTAAAAAGGCAGGCAGTCACTTTCTCTTGACCTCAGCTGCTCATCTGTCCTTTTGTACCTCCCTTATCCAGGTCACCACGGGGCAAAGCAAATGTTTGTGCATCAGATAGAGTGGCTGGGGACAGCAGGAAGGCAACAGCGTCTTTTTTGCCAGCACGGCTGGCAGTACCTTGGTGTCACCTCTGTCCCTCTGTTTCTGAGTTATGCTGGGCTGAGCCCAGGTGTGGCTCAGAGTCAGGGCAATAAATGATGGAATGTTTGCGTAGCAGCAGGTTACCAGTGCCAGGTTGTGCATGCGGAAGGGGAGGACAAATTCAGACTTCTGAAAAGTCACCACAAGTTCATAGAGACTCCCTATAAGCAGAAGGTGTAAGGCCACAGATGACATGCCATGGGGAAATAATCTTGACTCTGTATATTTTTACCACCATTGACTTTTTTATAAAGAGGATAGAAAAAATCCTGGGGTTTAAGTCACCCAGTTTTACAGAGGAAATTCATGATTTTGTGGAGTGCTACAGCTTTCTAGATCCCTAGTAGGCATAAGGCAGACAAATACGGAAGATAAAACAGATTACTATAGCAGAAAACAAGATATCTTTGATTTCACTTGGAAATTATTCTAATTCATGTGTTTTGAAGCTGTCTTAAGGTGTGTAGGAAAAACACAAAGCAAATTTAGAAGTAAAGTCCTCTTGTTGAACATCTGCAGATGGCGCCTTTCAACAGGAACCACCTGAGCTCCAGGGTCACATACCTGAATCCTAAAAGACAGGCAAGCAGCACAACTCAGCCAACCACCTCAGATATTACTTACATTAAAATAAAAAGGCCTAAAATAATAAGTTTTTACTGTAGTTCATAAAAATTAAAATGTTCAAGCCCGTTTTCTTTTCCTATTTTGAAGTATACAACATAATTCTTTAGAATTGTGTGTTCCTATGTCCTAGTTGAACCTGCTCCAAAATCCATGTATTGCCCCGAGACAAGCTAAGCTGCTTCTGGTACCTCAGTTCCTGTGTGAACACAGTCCCACACTCCGCTCTCCATGTCTGCCTACAACACAAGCAACAATTGCACATATTCTGGTATTGTTAAAGTTAGCAAAAACTTGAGTGTTTAAACTCAGAAGACAAAGTGAATTAAAAGCAAGGCTCTCGCTGTGCACAGAACTAAAATTCCCAGTATTTAGGTGAAGGGTAGGTAGAAGCCTGCGCAGAACAAGAATGTTAAAGAGCAAATGCAGTCACAGTAGTTCTTAGAACCAAATTTTAGCTAAAATCTATTCATAAGTTTTGTGAGCCTAGACCTTGCATTTCCATGTGCAACCAGGTGACAACACATGCACGTCAGCCAGCTAACCAGGCATCAGTTCATGCAGGTCAGTACAGGCCTGCACTTAGAAATGTTTTGCAGCCCAAAGTTTGGAGTCTAAAATTTAAGAAATTGGCCCTTTGCATCAGCCTGTGTTGTGTAAACCATGATGTTCAGTGTTGAACTGTACAATCACTGCTTCTTGCACTGGTGTGTGTAGTTACAAAGCCAATTTGTGCTCCATTATGTCTCCTAAATGGATGTTGTGGTCATAGTTTTCAGAGACACTGTAGCCTGTAAAGCAGATGAGGAAATTGCATGCCCTCTTTGATAAAGGCAAATTTTGAAAGGGGAGGCTGGAAATAAGCATTTGAAGTGCAGAAAATTAAAACCACTTGCTGAAGGATTGTTTCCGAATTCCTACTCGGAGCCAAATCTTGCCTCCTTCACTCTCATTGTATTAGTTCCTTATGCACCTTCAGTGAAATGAGGGAGAGGGAGCAGGGTCCTCTTTCCTGTCACGGGGTGGAGTCTGGCCATTAGGTGATGGCACGTGCAAGGGGTGTACTTGGGTAGCATTAAATGAATTTGACAAAATATGAACCGTGATCTAGCACTTTGTTTACAGGCTCCATATTCATGTTTACAAGTGATGATTTCTGAGGCTCACGCTTTTTACGTTTCCTGTTTGAAAAGGGCAGCCGGTGTACAGATATTTATTATGTTTATCAGCGTTTCTGAATAGATTTTTTTTATAGTACATGGTTTTATGAAGTGTAATATTTTTATAGCAGAATGATGATCTTTGGACTTTATATATTGTTACTTACCACTGTTTGCAAATAAGGTCTTTGCTCCCTTTCTTCTGTGCACTGTATCCAGTGTTGCTGCTGCTACTGTTGCTGGCCTCAGCTGCTGCTGGCCCGCCCGGAGGGGACTGATGGTATTGTGAAACTGTACAAACTAACTTCAAAGAGCTGTGATTGTGCTGGAGGGCTGGCTGTGTGCTGGGTCCCTCTTGGCAGGAGGGATGGGGAGCTGTTCTCTACCAGGGCAAGAGTTTACTGTGGATGGCCCCTGAGGAGAAATCTCAATGCTCACCTTTGTCTGTACTCCGCCATTTTGTCTTGGCATGCCCATCCTTTCCCTTCTTTATAAAGAAATAAAAAAGAAAACAGAAAAGGATCCTGCTTATTTTTGCATAATTCCTTTCTAGTCCCCAGGCACTGGCCATCTTTGAATGCCCTGTGCTGGTCACAGTAAAATCACACAGTTACCTTTCCAAATTATACCTAGAGCTCTTACCTCTGTGCAGGCTGAATACTTAAAACTCTGCTTTGAGAAGCAACAAGTAAACCTTTAACTCCTCATCAGTCAGGCAGTCCACCCACCAGAGAAATTTGGGATTTCAGTGCCAGACAAATGAGCTCTTTCACATAAGCTGCCTTGCATGGATTTCCCTTGTCCCTCAGAGATTTCCTGAGATACAGTTCTTCTGGAACTGCTGCTCACTAGCAAGCAGCCTGCATAACCTTTTCTGCTTGTTGAACTTGTGACCACAAAAGCAAAATCAATGTCTCCTTTGATGCTGATGCTTGGAGGGATTGTTTCTGCTTCCCTGGTGTTAAAATGTCTGAGTCTGCACACCATTACATTGGTGTTCATGTCTGTGGATCGCCATCAGCCCCAGTAGCATTGCAGAGGAAGCAAGTCCAGCTCAGGCTCCCTCATAGGAACAGATGTGACACCAGATATGGAGAAACTGCATGTTATTCGGGGCCAAGCAAGCATAACCAGGCAAACTTGAGAATTGTCCTGAGGATCAAAAAGTCTTGTTACATGTCTGAATAGCATCTTGTTCAAGGGCTGGCTGAGCACCTCTCAGGCACTACAGCAAAGGGAAATAATAGGCAGTAACAGTAACAGCTAATGCCTGAAAATCACAAAAAGCAGAGATTTTGCATTAAAAGCTATGAAAAAAAGCTGAAAACAAGAATTTTAGGCTACACCCAGCTATTCAGGTTAACCACAGAAAACTTTGCAGTGCTTTGGCTGCTAAAGATGCCATACTCTCACTGCCTGGGTGCAAGATGGAAGAAGGAGATCTCTGTCTATTCATCTAGATGGACTGGAGAGCTGTTTGTGGTGCTCTCACTGTTTTCTAAACAACCAAAGCTGGCCTGAGCCCAATTCCATTCTTTGTTGGGGAAATTATAAAACCGCTGGTGATTCAGAGTCTGTGGTGAGGCTGTGTGTTGTTTTGGCTTGGCACACTCCTGCCTAATTGTTTCTTCCTGGCCTTCAGGTTCTGCAGCCATTGGTGAAAACAGCCACAGTCAAAAAGCCTCACACTTTCCCTACTGTAGAAAGCAGGCTTCAATTTTAATTACAGTCTCCTTGCTAAGGCATGCAAACAGAGTCAAAGATCTTCAGTGCTTTTACCCAGACTTTCTAATTGTCACACTATTGTCTGGACTCTCCTCTCTACTGTAATTTCTATTATAATCAGTTATTTGCTTTACTTATCTATTCAGGCCAGCCACTCCTCCAACAGGGCAATCAATGTGAAGCATGAAAGTATGTTCTACCTTAGCACTGAGTCCTAGAGGCCTGAATTTATTTCACCTGTTGGTACTTACACAATTCAGCCTTTAGGAACATTAGCTGTGACAGTGGAACCTTAAAAACAGAATAAAAACAACCTGCATTTGACTTCAGAGAAGTGACAAGAGTGATCCATCAGCTTTTAAATACTGCTGATCTATTGCTATTTGGGCCTTTGGTCTCATTTCAACCATATCTGCTGCCATCTGTTACACTCTGAGTGGAGATGCACCTCAGCTACAGGGCTGCAGCCTTTTTATTGGGTCTGTGAACTAATCATGCAGGTAAAAACCCTGTCCATGAATGAACAACGTGCTCCTTGATGTGTGCTTAGATGGGCAAGAAAAAAGTGGAACACACGGCTCAGCAAAGATGAGGATTATTTATTCTGCAATTCAGGTGCAAATATGTTATTACTTTCCCAAGCCCAGGAATGAGAGTGATCTTCTGTGAAGCTCATGTGAGACATCCAACACACACATTCACACAGCTCGTACAATCCCCAGTTCCAGGAAGTCTCTAAGCAGCCACATGTCCTTCTACCATCAGATGATCTGAGGAAAAATACAGCACTGGCATTTGAGCCAGGGTAAGTTATATATGTACTAGTATGTCCACCAGCACATGCAAAATTCATTGGTCTTACACTAACATGACCTTTAAACTTCATACGTTTTTATACTGCTTATACCAATTCAAACCAAGAATATCTCTTTTGTGATGCAGCCAACAGCTAAAAACTCAGTCTGAAACAGGCTGGATGGTTCTTCCAGTACTGCTTCAGTCTTCTCAAAACCTTCAGTCAATATCACCAACAAGCACTTTATGCTCTTAAAAACTGATCTGTAAGAATTAGAAGATCTCACCGATGTAACTGGAAGCTTCATTCCTGGCTTCTAAAGGAAACTGGAAGAAGAGATCAAGCAGTATGTGTGAAAGGTAAGAAAATTTCATGCAAAACCCATTATTCAGGCCTCAAGTGCCATTTTTAAAATGCACCAACTACCATCACTGAATATATTCAAAGGGTTCAGGGTTCAGATGCAGGGAAAAAAACAAAATGCCTGCTGTGGACATGATTAAAGACCCTGATGTATTCAGCTCAGCCTGGGGATGGCTGAGAAGTGACTTGATTATCTCATACAAGAATCTTCACACAGAGAAAAATCCCATGATCTGGAAGAATAAGAGCCAGACTGAAGCACAAAAACCATCAAATGTCTGGGTGCAAAGTCCCCACAGGTGCAGGATGGAAATAAGGAAGCCTTATCTACTGAAAGTGACCAAGAGGAAAGGCAAACTCATTTTCTCCTTTGATAGTTTTGTTCAAACGAATAACCAGCCTCACTTTTAAGTTGCTTTCAGCAGGTATGCTTTAGGAGAGAAAAGGTTAATATGGAAGTAAGTGGATCACATCTATAGTCTGCAGTAATTTGGAAATCAATTTAAATGCTGTGATGGTCTCTTTTGGCCTCAAGTATGACATGCACAGATCAAGTTTTGGCCTTAAATATGATATGAACAGATCGTGTTTCCATAGAATTGATGATTCATCCATAGGATGAACTCTAAAGATTAATTCAAAGACTGTTAGGCCACAAATAACTGGAATAATCAACCTTCTGTATTTAAATCTGTCTTTACTGTGACACATGCAGAGAATCGTTGCCATCTTGAACAATATAGAATATCCCTCTGAAATTTTGTGATGTTTACAACTATTTATAATGTTATAATGTAGAACACCCTGTTTCACACCATTGGTGCAGTATGGTTAAAACATTTAACAGGACTGGGTAAATGATGTTCCCCCACAAAAAAAAAAGTAAAAAACTTGCTAACTTAAAACCAAAATAAGTTACAATAGCATTAGTAGTGCACTAATCCTGTGAACCACAGAAGGGCCTTAAACAGATGTCAAATATGAGTGAAACCTTCAAGTACAAAGAGATAAAGTAGGCTTTAATCTTGAATAAGCTCTCCAGTTAGAATTAAGCTATTTAAAAAACAGTGAAAATTAGACCACACAACTTTGAATTCTTAAATTTCCAAGGCCTGGAGCTGAGTGATGACTCGTGAACTGAGTGACTTTACGCAGCTTCTGCACATCTGTAAGACAGATAGAGAGGCTGCAAGATCCTAATCACAGTACCCTGGGTATTTATTTGTTTTTAAAGGAAAGAGGAAAGTAAATTATCAATAACGAATGCAAATGCTGTTCATAATAATGCATAGTGGCAGTGAAAGAAGGTGCTTCTCCAGGAAAATGTTACATCACTGCCCCCCCCCAACTTCAAGACTGTAAGTCTTAAAAATTCTCAAAATAATAGTTTCTGCTAAATCCTAAACACAAAACATCACATCTAGTAAGAGTTGTTCCACCTCTGTGACAAACATTACTGGAGCAGCCTTCCTGAGGTGTGATGTGGTGGAGATTTGTCCAGAGCAGCCACACAGTATGGAAGTGCTGCATAGCCACTCCCATCAGGGTCCCCTGCTGCAGAGTAACAGTCCCTCTTTTTAGCTCAAAGAGCCCTAAATAAGCCTACACAGTTGGAAGCTTGCATCACACTTCCGGGAGGTGGGTTGTGTGGGTCAGACTTCACCAGCCTGAGGAAGGAGCTGATGGGCTTCCCTGCTCTCATCTGCAAGTACTGAAACCACAGGTTTTTCATGGGATGCAGAGGTGACACACTGCCTCCACCTGAGCCTTCCACAGAAAAGAAGGAGCTGATTGTTAAGACATACTGCTGCAGAGTCTTCAGGAAGGACACCATAAGCATAAAGAAGCACCAAAGTCACAGGGTGGTGTCACGGTGACGGCATTCCTCAACTTCAAATTTCCTTTTGGTTAGGTTTTGTTGAGCTTCCTGCTCAGTGTGAAAGGTTCAGCTTCTACTCTGGCAGAGCTAATGGTCCCCTCCTCACACACACAGTGAAGCCAGGTGTGCAGGGCAGATGCTGCAGTCCAATCCAGCTGCCAAGGATCCATTCAAGCTGCATGTCTTTTGGATGAAGGCTCTCACATTTAATTTATAAGGCTCTCAGTGTAAAAAACCAAGATATCTCTTGTAAAAAAAAACCAACAAGACAGTCCTTGTGAACTGAAGTTGTAGCATCACCACCTAATATTAATGTTTATTGGAAAGGTCAATACCCATACAAAAGATGGCCTTGGACATCTGTGGGATGCTATTTTAAATCTTTCTGACAGGGACCCTTGCTACAGAGTGTGGAAGTTGTCTGTAAGCACCCATCCCACTTTTGCACACACACATTTGGGTACATGAGTGAAATGCATTTTTTCTAAGTATACACACTTGAATCAGTACTTTTTTTTCCTGTTAGAACTTACCTAAGCCTCAGTGACTCACTGTTGAGTCCTAAATGGCCTTGTAGAAGTCTGCCAGGACCTACTGTTTATTTCACTTCGATCCTAGTAGCTTTGGGAAGGACTTTGGCATGTTTACCTCCAAGTTACTCATCTTGTATGCCCACAGTTTGTTTATTCACTGTAGTCTACTGAAATTTCCCCCCTTTCTTTTAGTTAGAAATAGGCCAAAGGTGATTTCAGGGCTCCTATCTGGATCTGCATCACCAATTTGATCAGAGACAACCTTTGGCTTCCTCTAGTAAGTCAGGGACAACCTAGATACTGTCTTGCTCTCACAGTTCTCCAGTAAATGAGAGAAATCTTAGTGTATCAAGTGAAAAACTTACCCTAACTTGAGTGGATTTAACACTACCAAGGATACTGTTATTAGACCAAAGCGAGCCCTGGTGTAATCATACCCTTCTGGCTCAAGCATGCTAATATGCTTTTTTCCTAAATCAAGCCTACCTATATTGATGTTCAAGTTTTTTTCAGTGGCAGTAGTTTGAGTAGTTGCTCTTTGACAGGGGAAGGACTGGAAAAGGACAGAAGCACAGAATCGTACTTTTCTACCAGGAATGATTCCCCTAACCTGGCCATCCTCCAGCCTCACTTGGGTGATTTAGGTTAGGGAGAGCCAAAGTACCAGGAAACAGCATGTTTAAATACGGTAAGTGGGTTTTTTAGTAGTGAAACATACCAGGAACCTGTATTTTTTATCATGTCCTAATAAATTTATATTTATTCAGCTCAATAAAGACCCACGAGTCCTGAGGATTACATAGCTAAAATGACTGTCATTATTTAACAGTGTGTCTGAACTTTGACTCCTTCACTTTCTGCCATCAGTCAGACCCCTGATTCTAGGCTCCCCCTTACAACCTGTGAGATGTTTTTATTGGATAAAACACTTTAAGAATTACACAGAAAGCTTGGGAGAAACCCCAGGACTAGTTCTCCTCATGAAGTACAAGTGTTTCAGCACACACTTTGCAAGGCAGTAAACCTCCTCACAGCCTTACTTGAGATGTTCATGACACATCATTGATACTCTTCCCACAGAGAAAGGAATACTTTTTTTTTTAATAGAATTTTTTTTTAATCCAGTTGGATCCATCACCTAGGCAGGTTTTCCATAAGGAAAAAAACTCTGCTTTACAGCCCCATTCAACACCTGCTATGTAGGAGACACAGCCTGCTAAGTGAGCACCACCAGCCCTCCTGCTCTTCTACTCTGGACATGATAATTACAGTGATGAAGTGATTATATCTCATTTAACTATAAAAGAAGATTTCCCTAACTGAGTGAAGGAGGAGAATTTTGCAAGGTGGTGTTACAATATGAGGCTCTCTTCCCCCAGCTGACCCGATTTAGCAATATAAAGTGCAGAGTGCGTGTGACTGAACAAGCAGCCCTCATCCTTCCTTTTCCAAACACATGGTAATCATCCACAATTGTTTCAAGGATACCAGCAACGCAGTGGTGCAATACTAGAAAAAACACTCAGTGCTTCTTTTCACATGGATGTGGAGGCATGATTTTGACAAAAATTACCATTTATTATCATAATTTCTTTATTTAAGAAAAGAGAGTTTTATAAATTAAAAAACAAATATTGTTATAAAGATCCATTTTAAAATAGCTATCATTATACCCTTGTAGCCCAGGTACCATATCTACATTACCATCTGCAAGTATAAACAACCTTTCAATAAATCCATTGTCTTTTTTTTCTCTATTCTGTAGAAACTGATTTATTCTAAACAGCCTTAACAACATAGTTTTCTATTTAAAAATAGAATATATAATTATCTCATTTGAAGCATTCTTGAAAAATATCTTAAAACACTTAAAACCAATTCAGTCTTCATGACCGCAAAAACACAGACAGATTTAGCCTTCACCACTACACGTATTTCAGTTTGAAGTTGGCTTAAGTAATTTCAGCTGCAGTTTTGGCTGTCTGTTTTATCATGTGTGACTAATTGAGGACTCAGAGCAGCCTCCTCCAAGAAAAGCCACACCCTCCAGCTGCCCCAAGGCCCTGCTGCACCACACACATGCAGGGAGCGTCCTTCATCTACAGCCATTTGGCTTTTAGGTAAAAAAACTCCCAGGAGAAAACTTGCCCTTAATAGTTGTACGGTAAGCTTAAGTAGGGGAAGATATTTGGTGGGGGGAAGCAGTGCTGCTCCCACTCTTGAGCAGTGGCCTCCAGCTCATCCAGGCTGCTTCCTGGGCATGGAGAAAAAGCACCAGCAGAACTTCACTGCAAACCCAGCTGTCAGGATGAGCTGTTTTCTATGTGCTTATGATATATACTGTGTTAGGACCAGAGCTTGCGTGATTCCTGCCTATATAATTTATAATAATAGGGATAACTATACTAGTAAAAGCTTCAGGTGTTCAGACCTGCCCGACCATAATTGACACTAAGCTGTGGTCATAATGTAACACAATGTGGTTTGGTTGATATGCTGAAGGGAAGGGATGCCATTTCCTAAAATGAGGTATAGCTCCTTCTAGAATGGTTTAGTTGTTAAGCATTTATTTCATTTTTCTTTAGACTAATACTAAATTAATATTTCTACTAGGATATCTGTGCAAACGCATCAAGGCTCACCATGCATTTTACAGAGATTATTCATTATTCCTATAAGGCAGCCGCCTGAGTTAGCAGTCCCGGGTATTTAACCTTCTTAGTTGCTGCTGTGTAACCCACATGGAATAAAACTTCTCAAACATCATGCCAGCATGTAGGGATAATGTATCTGTAATCAGATGCAAACATAAATGCAAGTGTCATACCAAGTTCTGCTCTTGCTTGGCTCCATTTGATGTTGCAGCCTGGCTAAATGTCAACTGTTCTAGTCAATCTTCTCATCTACCTGCCAGATGATCTGTGTCCACTTTAATGAACAGGTATTTCATTACAAGGTCTAGGAAGGCTGTCCAAGCAACTCATCTTTTCTTCATATTTTTCTGCAACTTTAGAGCTACCATAGCAGGGAAACAATAACTACTGCAGTCCTGAAGTCAGAGGCTCTTGAGCAGCTTGTTTAATTGTTGTTCTCTTGTCTGTCATGCAACACTCCAAATAATGTTTTCCTGCAATTCCTTTTACAGGAGGGAAAAGGCACCATCATTTTTCTTGTCAGATGTGTGTTAACAGTTATATCAGATACATCCTTTAGGACTGCCATTGTGTCTTATGCCAGAAGCAGAACTACCACATAGCACTAGTAGATTGTCCTGCTATGTCATATCACATTTTTCTTCAGTTGTTTTATTGCCAGACAGTATATTCCTCTCTCCCTAACAGGGACATGTCACCATACATCACGAGGAAGAGACGCCCCAAAAGGAGAAAACCTGCGTGCCACTTTACTCAGCAGCTGGATCTGCAGCTGTTGAGGTCAAGAAGTGCTGGCTCCCGAACTGCAGTCTGGGATGAGGAGAAGAAGAAAGGCCACACATCCCCTGCAGCTGGGAGGCTCTCCCCTGTCACTCCTGCACACAGAAATGGGGAATGTAGGATATGGAGACTCTCTTCTGGGGAAGACATTTGCTAAACAGACCCATCATCTAACAGCTCACCTCCTCACAGAGACAAAATCCATGATGTTGTGAGAAGCTACTACTGCTCACTCAGCTCTGGCTACTTTATGTATCCTTGTGGGCAAAACCACCAGCACTAGGTGTGCTAGCACTGAAGATCTGCGGAAACAACGACGAAGGAGCCAGGGATGCTCTCCTCCATCCCACCAGCTGCAGCTTCTGAGCTGCAGAAATGGTGTCTGCAGAAAGTTTCTGATATTAGAGAGTGTCCAATGCAGAGTAACTGCAGGACAACCCTAGAGTCCATCTGCTAAAAACAAGCAGATCTTCCTTTAGTGAGGAAGAGTTTAAAGTAAAGACGGGCAGTAACAAAAGTCAGTGAGTTAAAAAACTAATGACCTAGCCAAAGTCCGAGGGAAAACAAGGAGAATAACCGGTCAGTATCATAAACTTCAGAGGCATCTCCTCGCAGATGTCAGAAGTACAAGGTTAATGAGAAATAAATAAAAGCAATGCAAATTTCAGGAAGAAATTTCAAGAAATGCAGGCAGGGTATTTCTGAAAATAATCTAAGGGATAAAAGATTGCAGGGGATCTGTCCTTTTGAAAACCAAACCAGCTACAATTACCTTTTCTGATTAGAAGAAACATAGGAGCCATCCTCAGACATACGTGGCCTGGCTTATTCACAAGTATGTAATGACCAAAAACTCAAAAGGGAATACAGACAAAAGGATCGATGAAGAGATGAAAAGAAAGAAATGGTGTCAGCCTGCAGATAACAGAATCAGAAATGCTAAGGCGTGAAATCAGTTTCAACTATCATGGCATATAAAAGACAACCAAACAAGTTTGATAAAAGAATTAGAAATTAAAATAAGACAAAGGAAATGGCAGTCATTAAATAACGCAGAAACAGCCCATAACAAGTAAAGGCAGGAGTATGGTAATACTAACTCAAAATAGGTCTAAATTCAGTGTGAAAAATGCATAGAAGCATAGTTCAGACCAGGAAAAGAACAAGTGAAATATATTTTAGAAAAAAAAAGATGTGCCAGGACCCAATGAAACTTGCCCTGAAGTCTACCAGGCCCTAGCAGAGGCAATTTGAGATAATCAGTGACTATTCTCTCCATGGAGATACATGGCAATCCAGCACTAGATAATAGCATGTGTCTGAAAAGAAGGGGTTAACAACAACCCAGCAAATTGTAAGTCAAATGGACTAGTTCTGATATATATTAAAAAAAAAAAAAAAAAAAGAAGCTAAAATAACTAAAGAATCCATTAATGTTCACCTAGGGAACAACATGTGTAAAATTGTGCCTAGCATGGACTTACCAAGAGTGCCTCATGTAAAATCCAATCTAATTTCTCTATTGAACAGGCCAGGGGGTAAAAGGGAAGCTGTGAATGTGATAAATTAAGGTGAGTTTTTTATAGCTTTTGACATCCTTTGAAGAAGCCTAAAAAAATAGTATGCAAATGAAACCACTATATATACACACAGAACTGCAGCAAATGCAAACTTCAAATCCTTGCCAGCTGCTTCTCTTGTGTAACTGGTAAAGCCTGTCACGTGGGACTGGTTTCTCCTGGGCACATTTCTAGTTAATGGTTTTTCCATTAACTACTTCAAAAAACAAAGTGAGATTCTCCCACAGTTATGGAAGGGTATTACCAGGGTGCTGCTGGTTAAGACTTTGACTGGGACATGATGACCCTTGTCCAGGCTATGCCTTAAGAAAGGCATAAACAAAACCAGAGTAAGCAAAAGGTTGAAAGACTTAAAAGGCACATCCTAAGAGAAAAATCTGAAAGAACTTGTTTACTCCAGGAAGAAAGACTAAAGAACACCACATTCCAATGCAGACAGGTATTGGGGGTTTTCCATATACAGAGTTAAGAAAAAAAACAAAAATTTCAATCAAGGAGAATAAAGCTACATTTTTAGGTAAAATTGTAGCTGTAATTTTAACAACTGAGCCTGGCCATACAGCATATGTAGACTCGCACTACATGAGATTTTTGTTCAGACACACAGAACTGATTTCCATAGACCTCTCTTCTGCCAGCACAAGTCAAATAAGAACGAATAAATGATGGGAGACCCTGTTCAGATTCACATTGCTGCTTTCAAACAAGGAGTCTAAATAGTCCACAGAAATAAAGTGGGCTACAGTTTGGCTTTTCATAGTGCAGGGGAACGGCTTTTCATAACCAAAGGGGTTAAAACTCTCCCACACACAGCAAAGCCAGGGGTGGTAGTGGTGGAGTGTTGTATCATACGCTAAATACAGGAAGAGAGGACACACAGTGCTTCTTCTCATGCCTAGTGCTCTCCAAGGAAGCAATCGGGGGGAGAAGGGTGCAGAGCTCTTACTTATTTTTTTCATTTTCTTTTTTCTTCTCCTGCTCTCCCTGAGATCCTGCAGGGAAGAGGAGGGAAGCAGAAGCAAATAAGCAACCATGCATGGACTCCAGGACTTCTTGCAGAACATGGGCATGCCCCAGGCTGCACTTTCAGCCCAGTTCTAGACTGTAAAAACTGCAAGTCTTTGGAAAGCAGAGGTAAACATCCATTTTCACTATCTCTAGTGCAATGAGCAAAGATAAAAGACGTAATTCACACACAGGTGGTTGTTTATATGGCCCAAATTTTATGGAGACAGCATTAGCAGGGTTAGAGCTTATCTCCCCGTCCAAATAAGTAACCTCTGCTCAGGTATGAAATAGAAAGTGCTGGTGAGAAGCAGGATCTTAAACCATTTCAGGTCCAGAGGGAAAGCCTGAACTGTTGCACTGCTCTGCCATACCCCGGTATTCCCAGCTCCAAACATTCCAAGTCCATAAACTGGACTCTTAAAAAAAAGAACAAAAAAACAAAACAACATAGGACTATCTTAAATAATGAAAAAAAAAATCACTGAAGCAGCCACAGTACTCTCACACAGCCCTCCTAACACCCGCATACCCAAATAGCCCTCTCACACCACTAACACCCCACCACCACCACCCCTATAGCAACAAAACGCCTGACACTGAGAGAGGCGGAGCAAGACACTGCTGGGGGGGGGCGGGATGCGCCCCTCACCAGCCAATGGGAAGCCATCAGCTGCTTCCGGGCAGCCAATAGGAACTTGGAAAGCCGTCGCGCGGCTCGGCCCTACGGTCTGCAGAGGAATGCCGCCCGTTCAACCGCCGGCGACCCTTCCCTTCGCGCTTTGCGACAATTTCTCCCCCTGCTCCCGCCGCGTTGCTTTACGGCCTTTCCCCCTCCCCACGTTCACCTTCTCTGTTTCGGAGGCCGGGAGTAGGGAGGCGGGGCGGCTGCGGCCAATAGGTGCCGAGAGCGCCGTGCTGACGGAGGGGGCGGTGGTGAGGGCGCTGCCGTAAAGCGGGCGCCGGCTGGGCAGGCTGAGGGAGTTGTCACCGGTGCCGGTAGTGGTAGTGAGGGAGACGCGCGGGCTGGGCGCTGCCTGCCGCTGAGGGTCGCCATGGCGGGGGCGCTGGGCCGCAAGGCCGTGGACTATCTGCGCAGCAAGGAGTTCAGGGACTACCTCATGAGGTGAGTGGAGCGCCGCGCGGGGGTCGTTGCCGGCTGCCGCGCCCGCCTCTGCCTCGGGTGGCCTCACTCCCACTTTGCCTGGGCGCGCAGTGGCGACCGGCGTCTCTTCCCCAAACTCTTGCACCCCGTTGTCTTGGGGCACCCGAGGTAGTGGTTGCGGCCGGGCGGTGTCGCTTGACCTCTACCAAGCTCGCCCTCGCCGGTGGTTGCGCGGGGGCAGGAGGGAGAGCGCGGGAGGCCGAAGCTGGTCCGGACGTGCTGGTGTGGATGGCGGAGGGCAGCGAGGCACCCCGTGCATTGCGGAGGCCGTCGGGGCTGTCAGCCGCCCGGCCCAGCGCGGGGAAACCGGGCTTGACCTTGAAGCGACGCGGCACGGTTTGAATGCTGCGGCAGCTGCACTTCAGTGTGACCTTTCCTCTGTCGGCTGTGGGACCAGCCCGGAGCGCTGCCCTGTCTCCGGAGCAGGTGGCAGAAGGCGCAGGAGCCGGGGACACGGGCCCTCGGACCGCTGCCTGCAATCAGGGCAGAAAGAGCTTTGCTCTTACTGTGTGCAGAAGCGAGTTTAACAGATGCGGTCCTAAGACCACATATTTAAGTGTCTGAGTATGTGTAAATATGAACGTTTTCCAGAGGCTTGTTAAAGCCCCGATTTCATGGGAATGTGGCTTTAGTCACTTCTCAAACTGCTCAATACTTTTTTTGTCAAGCTTCAGATGTGTGTTCTGGTGAGAGGAATGGCATCGCGAAGTGAAATCACAGGAATGCCCTAAAGATGCAATTGCAGCATATTTGCTTAAATCTGGTGGAAATGCTTATGGAGTGGTCTCGAATAGGCAGGCTGAGGTTTCTTTGGCTGACAAGAAACTTGACAAAGAAAACAGATAAAAATGGGCCCTTCTAATACAGGTGATTGAGCAACCTTTCAGTATAGGTCTTGCTTGCTGTTCTACCTACATGTATTGCAATTGATGTTTGATATTGAGCAAGTATGTGGGCAGGCATCTGTTTATCAGAGAAACAGTCTTGGTGAAAGTAGCAGATGGTTGTAAGCCTGCATCGAAGGGGGATTATAATATAACAGCTCAGGAAGCAAAAGGGTTTGTTTGGCACTTGCAAAATCAAGTTCTATAGAAACAGTGGGGCAAAAAGATGAGGAAGAGAACATCCCTGAAGCAAAACAAAAGAAGGTTAAAGCAGGCTTCTGTGTGGATTCCTTCTGAAAGTCTTCATGATAATATGGAAGCTTGATAGGTGCGCTTTGACGTTAACATTTAGTTCACTGAATAGAATTCAGGCGAAGTAGATAAATGGCTAGCAAAGCAGCAGTATGCTTCATACTTAAGAAAACAAACAAAAATCCAGAGAAGATAATGGCATCTTCCAAACACCACCACAGTTACTTGCTGGAAGTATGTATGTTCTTGATAAAGACTGAAAAGGTAGACAAAATAAACCTTTTCAGGGTACTTAATCCTATTTCTAGGCTTGAAATAAGCTATAAGACTGTATTGCAAAAAAGGATAATTCTGTGGTGGTCTAGTGTTGCATACAAAGATACCTGGTTAATTTGTACTTATGTTACTGAGTGTCATGAAGAGCTAAAGTCAGTAGTTCTATGTGGTATGGCCTTTTAGTATTGTTTCTTGCTTACTTGTTTAAGTTGTTGCCTTTATGTTGAGGTTAAAATTTAGATAACATGTAAATAAAAGACCATAGTCTGTCTTCTCTATAGAAGGAATGGAGTGTATGTACTTTGAGCTATTATCTCTTTACATTCTTTCCTGAAGGCTCTTGCTTCCCCAGCCTACAGGATTATCCTGAAGAAAATCACAGTTTTGCTGTGCTCATTGAGTAAGAGATTTTCCTCAAAGCTCTAAGACTATCTGCTCTAAAAATCGGCATCTAATGACTGCAGTGAAGCAAGGGTTTATAAATGTGAAAGTTTTTTTTGTGGGAAATGATGAATTGAGAGATTGCTTGTGATACCAGTATTTAACTGTAAAATCCTTGACCCCAAATAGAATAACTGAAATTACACAAAGAGGTGGAATTGCATGTTCCATTATTATGGCTTAGGGCAGTAAAAACTTGCAGACCTCTATAGAAATAAGTAGCTTTAGTTTCAGCTTTATAACTTGAAAATATGAAAGCAAGCACAGTGAATGCGTGCTGCTTTTCTCAGGTGGATATATCTGGCAATAGAATTGCATTACATCAGGTTAGCTTTTGGATCTTGCACAAAGAACCAAGATAAATTGCTTTTAAAACTGTCATTAATAATTAATTGTTCTGCCAATTTCACATCTGGCTTCTCTTAAGTGGTGATTAATAGGGATCTGAATGACTGTAAATCATGTAAATACGCATTTACTCTAACTGTTGTCTTTAATGCTTTAAAGTCAGCTTAGTTAGAATGTTAGCTGTAGGTAGGCTTCTGGTTCTTGTGAAACGCAGCAGTAATGTTAACTTAAAACTTGCTGATTGGCCTGTGAAAGTCTGGTAGCTCTGTATGTTATGACCTTGAAGTTGCATGTTTTCTTTTCTATAGATCTTAAAAATGTCAGTTGTCACTAAAGTTATATTATCTAAGCCATTAACAGTATGCAACTGAATCCTCTTAATTTCTCTTCTAATGATTTAAACCAGTAGCTTCTAAAAAACATCCAGTAAAGCAGATTTCTCTTCTTTTGAAAAAGAAGATCTATATACACCACTCTAGGCAAGTTCTGGTATTGTCTTGTGGTAGAAATGTAAAGTACTTCAGTTGCGTAAGGAAAACCAAGGAGTCCCAAAATCTTCTGGTAATAGAAAAATAAGCGTAGAGAGTTTGGTCTTCTGAGGCACTTCTGAAATATCTCTTCCTGATGACTCAGCAATAATGCAAAGGTAGTCATTGTTAATTTAGGTGGCTTTGAAATAGTTCATTCCTTGTAAAGCTTGAGCACTTATGTTGACATAAACTGTCTAGGACCTTTCTTTTAATTGAAATGAACTTTAGGAGAGTTAGCATCAGTAATGTAAACAGAATTAACTTCTGTTTTCATTAGTAAATATTTAAACACAAGGAAATTAAAAAAAAAAAAGTCCTCTACTGGTCTGTGTGAGAAACTGAAGGACACTGTGCTTGCTGTCTCAGTCTCATATGCTCCAAGAACAGAACAATCTTTTGCAGAAGGGTAATATCATCACCTCTTGGGGATGGCAGTGTGGGGGAACAGAGTGGTGACACTTCATCTGTATTTGCAGGATGGCCTCCAGCCTGTTAATATCCTGACTGCCAATATGAAGAAAATACATACATGAATTATTTTGAAAAAATCTTTCTCAATATAGCCATTTCGAAATTAATTGTAGTAGCAATGTAAGGTATTGATCAGCTGTCAGTTCCTCTTGTGATGTCCAGGAACTTATACAGAAAGCAGACACACAGAAACTGGATGGGTAAATTCAGCAGCTCTTCCCACAGTTCTGGAAATGTTAGTATGAAGTGTTCCCTTTGTCAAGGGATTCATTGTAGTTCTTCATAACTGCTAATTTGAAATGGACCAGGAATAAATGAGCACACTTGTTGCAGTGTCCTTGCTATTGGTTGTGGTGCATTTGTTGTAGCTGTATTGGCTGCAGAGCTTTGGGGCTGGATGCCTGCTTCTGTGAGTTTATATGACCTTTATCTGCTCTCTTTAGGAGTATAATAACTGTACCAATCTCATGTGAATGTGAGGATGATCTTAGCCAGAGCTGCCTACTCTGTTAAAATAGCATCACTTTGGTTCTATTTTATGCTTTTACTTGCCTGAAAACAACTTCCAATTTAAAAATCAAGGCTGACTTCTGTTGGCACAAACCCAAGCATGCCAGGAGACATATTTGAACTTGTTTATTTAAGGTTTTATTGGGGGGGGGGGAAGTATGCACTTGCTTACTTCAATTAACTATTGCTGCAGTTCAGTTCATAAGAAAACAAACAAGAAAAAGTGGTTAGACTAATCAAGGACACTAAGCATCTTGTTACAAGCCACAGGCTGATTCAGATGCAGCCAGTGTGATTGCCCGAGTTAGACCTGACTGTTCCCCTGCTGTAGCTATTTGTATAACAGTGCTCTAAGAATATGGAAATCAGTGTGAGGGAGGTGACTTAAGTGTTCTGCAGCAGTAGGCTTTTTATTAGTAGCTGGTTTCTTGTAAGTCATGATTTACATGGGGTCCTATCAGTATCTTTGGAAAAAGGACGCTTAAAAATTCTGAAAGATTTTAAAAAGATAGCAAGCAATCTTAAATATATGCTGTAGTCTAGCTTCCATGCATAGATCATTAAGTTATTACATAAATTGGTACCTAGATGATCATT